TGGGGGGGGGGGGGTGTCAGTGGCGTGCGGTCCGGATAAGCAAGGCAAGCACTGCTTGCCAAAATATTTCAGGAGAAAGAGGAAAATTACATCTATTAGATGTTTTAAATTTTAGCAAATATTATTCATCAAATGTAGGTATTAGTAGGTAAATTGCAATAAGAACAGAGAGGGAGAGAGAGAGAGAGGCAGAAATACGCACATAGCAGCCACGAAAGTAGGAAAGCGGCAAAGCGGACGGTGTGGTGGCGCCAGCGCGCTGCGCGGCCTGAACACGGCACGGGCCAACTCATGCCCTGGAGAATCGGTTGCCAGACTGCTCGGCGGCGGCGGAATCATGGCGGGCGGGGAGAGCGGTACGTTCCCAGTTCGAGCGCTTCGCTGCTTTTGACTCCGATGCGCCCGCGCCGCGCCGTCCTGTTCCCTCTTCCCGTCGCGTCGTGGTTGCGCTTGCTCCCTTCGGAGCAAGTTTACTCCATTTCAATAATATGTCGCTCACTTGGATCTAATTGGTGATGAATAAGACATTTCCCAAGCATGTTTTAAACGCAGAGAGATGTTTTTTTGAGAAATTTAAATAAGTAACTGAAAAAATTCTAAACGCTTTAGAGTAACGACTGGATATGGCTCAAATAAGTGGCAAATGATCATAAATAAGAGAGAATGAAATTAAACCATTGTTTTTCAAGATTTTCCATCAGATTTCATCCTAAAAATAGAATAAATTGAGGTTCGCGAGGATCTTAATTTTAACAATTTTTTAAGGCTATCTCGAGGCGAAGGGGGCTATAGGCTACGTTAATCCACTACCGCCACCTCCTAGATCGCTAGAGCTTGCACGGGGGGCGGGGTGTATTTCATTTCCAAACTTTTAGTATCAGAGTGAAAAGAAGTTATTCAAAGAGAGATTTCGCTGTAGTTCCGGTTGAAAATGCACGTTGAATTTTCCATACTTGATGGTATGGTATGTTCATCGAAAATCCCTTTTTTGACCTTACCTACTTATGGTTCACATCAATACGCGATTTTTCAGCCCCATCTCACTCCCTTAAAACTGCACTTTTCCCCTCCCACCACCTTTCGAGTCATTTTGATACCATCTCTACTTACCCTTTTCCACCCTTAGATGCCTTTTATTATTCAAGGACAACTCTTTTTCAGCCCTTTTCTACCAGACCCAATATGAGAGTCAGCTGAGATGAGCACAATCCTAGGAAGTAGTGCTGGAGACTCGTGGGTAAGGTAACTCTTAAACCAATGCAGAAAGAGAGTGAGACAGAAATACGTACATAGCAGCTACAAAAGTAGGAAAGCGGCAGTGCGGAGGGTGTAGTGGCGCCAGCGCGCTGCGCGGCCTGAACACGGCACGGGCCGTCTCACGCATGCTCTGCTCAGTGCTCACCTTCAGAACAACAGAATAATGCTACGGACAATAACAGCTTGATGAAAAAATTGGCTGTGAAGCAAAAGAAGGCTGTACCTACGGAACATGGAAAAGAGGTTGTTCCATCCCCCATTAGATTTGGCCACCTATCAAATATGATCCATCTTTTCAGAAGTTATACAGTAGCATGCAAGACGTTCAAATATGGCGATCATTTTGACTTAGGCCCCCCCCCAGAGAGGGGGGGCGGGGGGTCAAGGACAAAACCTTCAACTGCCTATAACTTTTGAGCGAAAAATCGGATTGAGTTGAGCTTTTTTTTAAATTAAAGATCTCAAAAAGATCTATCTGCTGATACCAGAAAAATTGAAAAAAAGTTAAAGTTTATGCCAATTTTTATCAATTTTTCGATTTTTTAGGAGACAAAATTTTCAATTTTGTCGTGTTTCGGCACCGCGCAATGACTCTACTAAAACAAAAACCAGTTTTTTAAATTCTACACTCAATTTCCTATAAGATGCAAAAAACCGCATCTTGGGGAAACGTTTAGATCGCGAGCTATGGCTTGTCGAAGGTAGCCCCGCGCTGTTCGCATATTCTCCACGCGTCTGCCACCGATCCTGTTGCCCCTCCTCCCCCATCCTAAATGCAAATTAACATTCTACTACCCAGCTTTCGTATATATCTGCGTTATAGGTACGTGGAAATCCAGCAAGTTCGTGATTTCCAGTGGAATTAATGCTTTATATCTCTCCCCCCCCCCCCAACCCGGCCACTGTGCTCCAAATATTGTGCGAAAAATAATTATAAACATTTTCTTGTTACATGTTTTTGCTGCACACCCGGCCACTGGCACTGAAGTTTGCCCCTGCCTACAAGTTGTAATAGTTTTTTCTTGTGTCTAACTGGAGGTATTTGTTTTCTAGATTACACGCTAAAATGAACAGAATAGGTATAAAAAAAGTAATTTATTAAGTGAATTGAAAACAGTTACACAAGGATACACACAGGTTACACAAGGAGGTTGGGAGATGGGATAAAAAATTACCTCAATTCGATTTCATAGTCACAGGGTGCTACATC